ACTTCTTTATTGTGCAGTAACTGCGAGAAAAGCGTTACATTGTGATTGGTATTCTGAACAGTTTTGCTGTTCAATTACTAGATAAAAGTCAGTACAACTTCCCAATAACCAATCGTATACTGCATAAAATTTCTACCAGGGGTAATATTAAAGTTATTATGCAATTAAAAAAGGGAATTAAAATATACAATAATTGTTTATGAAAGATCGAATTAGTCGTAGACTGAGGAAACTTAATGAATTCACGTGAAAACTTACTGCAAAGCACTCCAATCATTACAAGCAATACGAAACTAACGCGAGACATGGTTAATAATTCTTGCACTTTATTTCGACTGGATACCGGAATACGAAACATGCTGCGTTTTTATACTTACCTGTTTATTAGCAGACCTTATCAGCAGTTTATTCTAAAAAATAATACGTATTATCTCTCTCTAACCCTATTGCGTCAGCATAGATGTTTATGATGTTACGCATACATACACATAAAAACTACGTTACATTACCATTAATAACATTACTCAGAATTTCAACATACGTAGTTGTAATCATAGTATACAAAATTAATTTTTATTGTCATAATATAATTTAAATTTAAAAAATAATAACAAAAATCTTAAGTTTTTGTACAAGTATTTTTGTATAAATATTCAGAATGATTTATGCAAAGTTTCATTGTGATGCAGAGATTAGTTGTTCCGTAAATAAATAATACAAGTAGTCTCTGCATTACAATGGAATTTTACACAAATTATATCTTGGATATTTAAAGTACTTAGATAAAAAAATTGAGATCTTTTGTCATTATTTTATATATTTCCATAGGTTTTCATTAGAGCACAGAAATGAAAAAATACTACTTATTAAAATAATTTTTGTTCCAACTTCTAAATCGCTGCACAGTGGAAAATGCAAATCTAGTTAAATAAAACTCCAATTTTTAAAAGATAATGAAATTATATTAACAATAATTTTTGTAATCATTAATTTTAAATTTAGATTTTAAAAAAATTTCATAATTTCGAACTATTTTCGAAATATATCTAGTAGGGACACAAACTTTATAGACACTTTGTATTGTGAATACGATTTCTGTTTTGTCCAACTTAAACAAATAATAATGTTTTGCTTTTATGAAAAAATAATTCCATAATTTCGATCATTTTTCAGTATTATTAACACACTTAATGAAATCTACCATGATAGAAGATAAAATATTTGCAAAAGTTGCAAAAACTAACATATCATTTTTACGATGCTTAAAACATATCCTACAAAGATTCTAATGATGATATGATTTCTTCGGATAAAGCCGGATGAAGCTTTTTCTACTCAATAATATATGCTAATTACAAAATAAAAAAGTACTTAGTACTTCTTATTAAATCTTTTCGGACATACAAGAATTAAAATAAGACATTTATAATATTAACTCAAAGAACGTAATTTAACTTTTAAAATAAATACAAAAATGTTATCTACAATTTAATTAAAATATATATTTTTACAATTATATAAGGTACAGTATAATTTTTTATTGTTAGTTATTATGAGAAACTATTACTATGAATGTTGTTATGACAACGCTAGAATATTTTACCAGCTTTTTATTAAAGGTAATTTATACAAGTATAAATATTTTATTATGTTGTTTGATTTATTAAAAGTATTGGTTTTTAGTTTTGTCCAACTAGATTTGCGTTTTATATCACTGTACGTTGTCACATTTTTTTGTATTATATTTTTAAATGCGATCTTGAATAATTCATAATTCTTAAAAAATATGTATAAACATCCTTAAGAATATTGTAAATAAGCGAATTTGCTCGACAACAAACGTTTGTTGACAACCGACGGATGTTATCGCATTTGGAGATAAAAACACAGGACTATATTGGCTTTTATATTATAAAAGATATATTACGAAAGATGTATTACGAAGATTAATAATTCGTTCTTCTTCACAAAGTCCAATAACAAAAACTTTCTCCAACAATCTTAATCTTCTTAATAATTTCTTTGTCACGTGACAAACGTATCATATTCTTTGTATCATATACATACTCTTTGGAATAGTGACAAGTTTTTGTTCACGACGACGACACGTCGTCGTGTACATTTATCGTATATATTTATCACGCAACGAAGAGAATCGATTTCGTGCAGAGATAGAGGCAGCGATTTGAACATCTCAAAATGCGCAAGAGTGTGCTTCCAGTTAATATTATTGCCAAAAAATTATAATTTTTTCTCAGCAGTTATTATCATCTCTACTCTATTGATACTCGAACTCGGATGATAACATTAAAATCATAGTTTAAAAAAAAATCGAGTATTATATGCACTTGAGAGGCAAATACAGTGGTTCTATACAGCATAAATTGAGCTGGTTGAAGTTTGGAACGTTCTTGGAGCGATTTTTTCAAAATGGTTTGGCCCATTTCTCCTTTTGCACAGAGCTACATCTTCATGCCAGACAATAAATAAAAAATATTCCGAGCGAATCCATGCGTCAGAAGACACCCTTAACGGTGAAAAACTACCCTGGAAAAACTTAAAAAAATTCTTTCAAAGCCATAAATGATTTGTCCCATTTCTCCTTTTGTACAGAGCTACACCTGTATGCCAGACAACAAATAAAAAATACCCCGAGCGAATCCATGCGTCGGAAGACATTATACTTTACTTCCGACAATCATCAACCTATCAAAATTATCGACATACAAAATTACTTCAAATGATCAGGCTATTATTAGTCATTAACGTGTGAAATTAAAAGTTGAAAGTACAACCAATACAACAAAAATTAATAATGCAATTGATAATAATTTGATAAAATTGCATATAAAATTTGCATATATATCTCTGTTGATCTGATTACCATAATCGTAACCGATACAAATACAGTGTCGATATAAGTCTTGATATTAAGAGGAACAAAAATTTTATTTGTATCGTTTAAACGGCCTATTTTATTATTTTTGGAAGGTTTCCCAAGCTTTCCTGGATAAATAAGCATTTTTTCATGAATGTACGAACTTCCAAAATGACAACTGCATAGGTTTTAAAGGTATCCATTCAGGGCCAATTTTGGCCATTTTTATACTCCCTCCTTTAAATAAATTTTTTAATTGTATAATTCATTCGTATTAGTATAAAATAGCGACAATATTGAGGAACCGCAGTTTAAATCAAGTTAAATTTGACACTACAAATTTAACAATAGGCCTGTTCTTTTTTATTGAACTTTTCCATCAGTTCATCCTTCTTCTTTTCTCCTGAAGATAAAAGAAAGAAAGATGAACTGGTGCAAAAGTTTAGCTAAAAAGAACAGGCCTAATGCAACTCAAATTCCGAATTTATGAATCAGTGAAATAATTCTTGCTCTGTGAAGGTTGCTCGAACAATGTTCTTTTTCAGACATACAAATGTATTCGCAATTCGCATTGATATTATCAATCATTATCGCTTCCAAGTTATAATAAATAATAGTTGGTAAAATTTCCATAAAAAAAAAATCTACAGCAATATTGGTCTCATCATTAAGTTTTTCAATCGACATTAAAGTTGTATACGACGGAATAACATTATAATATCTAAATGTAAAAATTTATATAATAAATCGTTAAAGAAACAAACCCAATGCATCTATCTACTCGAAAGACAGTAATCCTGATTTTAATGACACGATTTTATCATCTAGAAGTAGCAATGCTGCTTTTTATAGTTCCGTGTTCGACATGAAAATCACGACTAGATTGCATTAAAAATGCAATCAAGTCGTGGTTTTCGTGTCTAATACGGAAGTACTTAAATTTTATATTGTAATAATGTTCAATATATATACATAAGTTTTTCAATCGACATTAAAGTTGTATACGACGGAATAACATTATAATATCTAAATGTAAAAATTTATATAATAAATCGTTAAAGAAACAAACCCAATGCATCTATCTACTCGAAAGACAGTAACCCTGATTTTAATAACACGATTTTATCTTCTAGAAGTAGCAATGCTGCTTTTTATAGTTCCGTGTTCGACATGAAAATCACGACTAGATTAAAAATGCAATCAAGTCGTGGTTTTCGTGTCTAATACAGAAGTACTTAAATTTTATATCGTAATAATGTTCAATATATATACGTAAATAATACATGCATAATAAAACATTTTTATCTTATACGAAAAATATATGAGATATTACAATAAATAATATAAGAAATTACATACACAAAATTATTAAATTGTAGAATATGGCACACTATGTATGTAGTTTTTCACATAGTTTTAAAATTATATTATTTTTAAATATAATATGTATACATTATATTCAAAAATAATATTACTTTAAATTATTTTTAAACACAATCAATACTAGAAATTTAAATGCCTATTACGGTCGAAGCTGAATCTTCGTTGCTTTAAATAATTCAATCTTGAATTATTAATATATACTACATATGTACTTGCATATATACTATACTGTAGTCTTTTTCAAACTGCGCGCCGAATTGTTTTTCCGGACTAAATAAACGCAATTAAAACTACTCTAGTAATCGCGAATTAAATTGACAAGCAATTTAATAATTTGATGCTACCATCAAGCATCATATATTATAAAGATGTTAATATATTAAAACTGTTAATAAAGGACCCCGCACAAAATCATAGGATTTTGGCCCTCGGTTAAATTGGCTGAAATTTTAGTATGTTATAGTTCTTGACCCACTGATCAAAAGTGTCCATAGGCACAAAGCTTGATCATGACTAGTTTTTTTGTTATAACCGTTTAAAGTTTTATTTTGTTAATGCCTCAAAAAAGCAAGTTTCTGTAATAAATCAAGAGATTTTACATAACAATATGCTAACCACTCTCACCACCCCCACCCTCACTCCCACCCCTACCCACACCCCTACTCCTATTCCCACACACATATGTCCGCGCGTGCATTTTTATATTATAAAGGTGCATAAAAATCGAAGTTTCATGTGTGCGTGTGCGTGCGTGCGCGCGCGCGCGTCTGTTGTGTATGCATCAATGGTATATTTATGATTTTAGATTTTCGCCCGTTCTCAGAATTATCCGGAATAAACGACGTGGACGTGACGGGCGTTTTACTCCTTTGGGGTGCTTGATTTTCGTGAGTCCCCTTGCCTCTCACGTTTGGGGTGCTTGATTTTCGTGAGTCCCCTTGCCTCTCACGTTTGGGATGCTTGATTTTCGTGAGTCCCCTTGCCTCTCACGAATTTGAACTTGTATTTCAATTATCTATAACTTCTATATTATTATTGAGATCTTCTTGATCTGCTCTATCAGCTG